CTGCATCGGAGGACTGAGACCATGCATGCTCCGCCCACTCTAACTACATCTGCCAATCAGTAAAAACAGGGAACACACAGATCCCACTTAATACCTGTCTCAACACTTCACTACCAAATGAACAAGTACCAAATAGGTCGTCTTTACTTTCCAATCCCCCAGGGCATAAAACACAACAACCATCACATCTTATCCCCCAACTGAGCAGCCTGTCTCTTGTTCTGATCCTCCCCAATATGATTAACCACAACAGCACACAATGCTTAGGGTAAACTGGCTTGCTCCAGATATCATGAGACCACGATACAACAGGTAAAGGGACTATAATTGATGCTCATACTTGCTTAACCAAAAGTTTAGCTTTCAGACCATCCCTTGCCAAAGACTCCCCCCTCTAGTAATATGCTACCATGCACATTTCTGCATTTGAGGATCTTCTTCGAGACCCGTGTACTAACATCACTAACAGGAAGAGACCAAATGTTCCTCCCTTTAATTTTGTATTTGGTCATCCACGCTACCCATAAAGAGCATGCCTCAGCTAGTAAATTCCACAAGTGTCTAATCACACAAGCTTTGTTCCAATTTTTAAAATCTCTAATGCCCAAACCCTTCTTGCCTCAATAAAACTACATATGACCAAGCAACATGAGTCTACTTCCTCTTGTCTCCATCCACACTCCACAAAAATTTATTACAAGCATTCTCAATCAGTTTAAGTACCTTTGGTGAAAGTAAAAAGATCGACATCCAATACTGGAATACACTAGTAATCAACGAGTCAATTAATTGTAATTTTCCTACATAGCTCAGAGACCTAGCCTGCCAATTTTGTATCCTTTTTGTAATCTTCTCAACTAGGCATTCACAATAAAAAGACACCAGCTTTCCAAAAAGGAGTGGCACCCCAAGATAACGACCATGAAGCTCACCTAAAGGGAACCCTGACTTTTGAGATAATATTTGTTTTTCATCTTGAGAGAGTCCTAAACAAAATAATTGACACTTCTAGGGATTGCATTTAAGTCCCGAGATTCTATAAAACTGATCAAGTAGCTGTCTAATTGTAAACATTGCCTGAGATGACCCATTTGAGCAATTCTGTCCAAATCGTTTTAATGCAATACCTTTCCATTTTTATCCCTTTTTCCAGTAATGCAATACCTAACCTTATCTTAATTTTGAGAAGCTTATGTCAAATCCATGATCCCATGTTTGTAGAGAGAGTCCAGAAATTCTCCCTCTTCATTCTATATTCTGAAATCCAAGCCACCCAAAGAGATCCTTGCTTCAACAGAATCGCCAAATATGCCTCATAACACAGGCCAGATTCCAAGTCCCCATATCTCTAAGTCTAAAACCTCTTTCCTTCTCAAGAAAGCTAATTTTTGCCCAACCTACCACAACTTTCTTACGAGTACCTTCACCAACCCCCATAATAAATCACTACATTTCTTCTCAATCTCTCTGATTACAGCCTTAGGAAGAATAAAGATCCCCATCTAGAACTAAGCCAGGCTATATAAAATGGAAATTCTCAGTTGAAGTTTCCCAGTATAACTAAGAGACGTCGACTTCCACCTATTAATCTTGCTAGTAACTCTATCAATTAAAGGCTTGCAAGATTTAGTAGTAAGTTTCCCAGCCAGCAAAGGGAGACCAAGATATCTAACAGGTAGAGTGCCAAGAGTATACCTTGAATTCCGAGCCATCAGAAGCTATCATTGTGGAGCAATTCTACCACAATAAAGTTCACACTTCGAGGGGTTGGATTGAAGCCCAAACACACAACGAAACTGAATTCCATGATTAGACCCATTAGAGAAGATAATAGGTCATCCGGAAACATAAGATGTGTTAAAGCCAACCGCTTACACAAAGGATGGAAAGGCATAGTATTTTGCTTTACATCTTTGTGCATAAGGCATGTAAAAATCTCTATTGCCACAACAAATAGGTAGGGGGACAGTGGATCCCCCTGCCTCGGCCCTTTTCTTAGAGAAAAATAACCCACTGAACCACCATTAAATCCTACAGTTAACCAAGGGGTAGTGACACACATGTTTAACAAGGTAAGAAAGCTATCAGGGAAGCCCATTGCTCTAATAACAATAAACAAAAAATCTCACTCTACTAAGTCAAGGGCCTTAATAAGGTCAACCTTGATCAGAGTACATGAGGAGGTATTTTCCTACCATATTTTTGTACCACTTCATGAGCCAATTAAATGTTTTCACCTATAATCCTACCCTTCACAAAAGTAGTCTGTGGTTCACTAGTTATACTTGGCATTACAGAACTTAACCTAGAAGCCAAAATCTTTGTCATACATTATAGAGGATATTGTAGCAGGAGATTGGTCTAAAAAATTTCATCTCTTCAGGGCTAGTTATTTTGGAAACTAAGGTAAGCAAAGTGGAATTAATGCTAACTGGGATACTAGCCACTTGAAAATAGTGCAAAATAACAGTTGTTACCTCATGTCCAATAATACTCCTGGCTTCCTGAAGAAAAAAAAAACAAGTTGGATATCTGTCCGGCCCAGGAGCTTTATCTCCATTGAAGCCAAAGATCGTACTCTTCACTTCCTCAGCAGTGACAGGTCTACACAAATCCACTCATTGACTAGGAGGTAATTGCTTCAATAGCAAGTCTTTGATCTGCTCAACACTAGACTACATAACTAAACTAACCTTTTCCCCCAATAGTTTCTTGTAGAAATTCCTAGCTATTCAAGCCATGTCATTAATGTCTTCAACTTGCAACATACCCTAGCTAGCGGAGACCCCTCAATTGTAGAATCTCAGGCTTCCTTAACCATCTTCATAAAATTCGGATGTTTTATCCAAAATTTAAAGAATTTGAATAATTTTGGAACAAACTTACTGGAGAAATATGAATTTAGCAAGATGGGACAATGATCTGAAACCGAGGGGTCAAGTAGATCAACGGTACTATCAGTCAGAAACTCTAGCCATTTCATGTTCGCAAAAACTCTATCCAATCGCCTAACAATAGGGGTTCCTCTACTACTTATTTAACCAGGTGAACCAAGGGCCATAGAATTTATGTTCCTCCAGTTCACATTCAAACTGCCATTTCTTGAAATCAAGCATACTGCTAAAGATTTAAGGATCATTTGAAGCCTCACTAGGGTCCTCAATCACATTAAAATCCAGAAGGATAGCCCATGGCTTTGATTTTACCTGGAACTTTGTAGATCTTCATAGATAATTCTTTTATCCCCATCTTCATTTGATGCATAAACTACATAAAGGAAGAAAGGAATACCACAACCCACCAAGACATGAAAGAACAAATCAGTTTTATGAAGCATACTGATCTTAACATCAGCTTTCCAAACGAGACACAATTTCCCCAAGCCATTAGAGTTATTAGCCACTTTAAACTCCCAACCAGGAAACCTTTTGTTTATCATCTTATCTGCCTTACTTGCTCTTACCCGAGGTTCAAGCATAACTATAATATCTATATTATGTTTATATACTAGCTGTTGAACAATCTTATTCTTATCCGGTTCCTTGAAACCCCAAATATACCTAGTGAGAATCTTCATTTCTTAGACCAACTCTCCCCCCTTTACAAGAAGGAAGCTGGGCCACACGGGGGTGTTAGGCTTCTTCTTTCAGTCACCAACTGTAATCCAAGTATTAACTAACTCTTTAACAACTGGAGTTTTTTGAGATGAAGGCCTCCCATTAACTGGTGAGCCACATTCCACGGACTTATGAGCAGACGAGCTAGGACTCCCAGATGCATTGATGATCCTAACAACCATCCGCAAAACTAACAGTTGCTCTACCAATAGGATCCTTCACTTGTCCAACATTTATGGAGACTACTAGTTTATCTTTATCAGGAAGGAGAGTTTCTCTGATTTTCAAGGAAATAAACTTTTTTTTTGTTAATAAGGTAAAATATTTGAACGACATGACTTGCCATTGTTTTTTAATATTTTATTTTAGTATTTTAGCTTTTTTTTTACTTTATCTAATTTTAATATTTTATACTAGATATAATTTTCTATCTATATATCTTTCAAAAAGTTACAAAAATTTAAACATCTATATTATTATCCATTAAAATAATATTATTTTCTCTTACTATTTTTAATTTTTACTTTATCATTTTGTATTGTATAGATCATTCTACTTTGTTTACTTCAGTTAAAAAAATATCATCATTGAAGTTTTTAGTTTCAAAAATTTTAAAAGTTCTAGCCGAATAGATTTTCATTTGAAGTTTTATTTCTCATGAAACATGAAACGATATCTTCATTTTCTTCAAAATTTGTTCTATGTTGCATAACCGGGAGAAATTTTTTTGCAAATGAACCAGTCTGACTGTAACACTTTAGGCAAATCCCACATCGACAAAGCACGGGAGAGATCCATGGTTCATAAATAGGAAAACGGTCTTAACTGATAAGACGCATTTTGGGATGAAACGGAGGAGTTCTTGTGAGAACTCCGAAGTTAAACGTGCTCAGTGTAGAGTACAACAAGGATGGGTGACCTAATGTGAAGTCACCTTGAATTACACCCCAAGTAAAAAACCGTGAGGGTCGAGACCCAAAGCGGACAATATCTTCGTCGGAAAAAGATTCGGAATGTTACACTAACGACACGTTGAAATTTCGAGGTTGACCCACTCGAGAGTTGAGACTGTGTCATGAATTTTTTTAAAAGTGAAATTGAAATAGATTATGCAGAAAGTTGCAAGTATCGATAAACCATATCAATCTTACCAACGAATTTTCAACAAAATCCTAATTAATCCGTTTACTTCCGAGAAGTCAACTTAAAGCCCATCTGAAACAACATCTAGCCCACTTCCAATCTTTATCACGAAGAAAACCAGAATACCCATGGACCTGGCCCATCATAATCTGAACTCGACCCAGTACGAACACTGAAAGTGGAAACCCATCCGTCGATCCATAAACACGTGTCCGGCTTCACACGAAGTTTCTACCACCTCCGCACAGCAGAACCGAGCCAGCTCGAATTAGATATGAGGTTAACATCTCCGCCATCTCTCACACTCATTTCTCCGCCGAGTCGCCGCCCAATCCAATTCCTCCGACGACCTTCTCCAAACACTACCAACACAATCCGCTGCTCCTCGTCTCCACCGCACGCAATGGATCAGCCGGACTCTAATCGGCGAGTAGTCGTCTGCGGCGGCGGCGTAATCGGCGTCTGCACGGCCTACTTCCTAGCCAAAAAGGGCGTCTCCGTCACCCTCATCGAGAAATCCTTCATCGCCTGCGCTGCGTCCGGGAAGGCCGGCGGATTCCTCGCCCTCGATTGGTGCGACGGCGGGCCGGTGGGCCCGCTCGCTCGAGCCAGCTTCAATCTCCACCGCACCCTCGCCGATGAGCTCGACGGCGCCCAATCCTACGGCTACCGCCCCTTAACCACGCTCAGCCTTACCGTCGCGGAGTCGGAATTGGGCAATCTGCCGGAATCGTCTTCAGGAGCGAAGAAAATCCCCAATTGGGTCGACGGGCCCGCGCGGGGACCGAGGACGATCGGGACAACGGAGACGACGGCGCAAGTCCATCCGCAGCTGTTCACGAGGACGCTGATTACGAAGGCGGTCGAGGGTTACGGGGTGGAGGTGGTGATCGGGAAAGTTGAGGCGGTGGCGGTGGAGGAAGGGCAAGCCAACTCGGTGGTGCTGGAGGGCGGACGAGTCATCGAATCTGACGCGGTGGTGCTGGCGCTTGGGCCGTGGTGCGGTAAGTTCGAGATGTTGAAATCCATTTTCAGAGTTTATGGGCTGAGAGCTCACAGTATTGTCTTGGAGCCCAAGAGGCCCGATGCCATCACGCCTCATGCCCTTTTCTTGAGTTATTTACCGGGTGAGGGAGGAAAGCCCATGGATCCTGAAGTGTATCCGCGGCCCACAGGTAACTTTGCCTTTTACTTTCTCCACCCTTCTTGTCCACTAGCTATGTAGATTTTGATTTTTTGCAGAGTTTGTTACCTTAACTAGACTACACAGAATTGGTTACCTTAAACTTAACTAATTCAATTATGAATTATGAGTATTTATTATTTTATAATCGTTGTCGAACTTTTAAACGTACTGTTATGTTGGAAATGGCGAATAAAACTCGGTACGTATAAAACGGTTAATATCATATTATGCTCGTACCGTATTTTTTTACTAACTATGTTCATTGTTTTGTCCAAAATTTCTTGATGCGTTGACAGGGGAGGTTTATGTGTGCGGAATGTCGTCGGAGGTGGAAGTGCCGGATGACCCGGAGCAAATAACGGGCGACCCGGAATCGATCCGGGTGCTAAAGAGGGTGGCGAAGACGGTCTCGAGCCACCTGGCCGAAGGGGAAGCAACAGTGAAGGCTGAGCAAGCCTGCTTCTTGCCCTGCACGGATGACAGCTTGCCGGTGATCGGAGAGATTCCGGGGGTGAAGGGTTGTTTCGTGGCGACCGGACACAGCTGCTGGGGGATCCTTAACGGTCCGGCGACGGGAGCTGCGATGGCTGAGCTTGTGGTGGATGGGGAGTCCAGCATTGTGGACCTTTCTCGGTTTAGTCCGGCCAGGTTTGGCAGGAGGAGGAAGATGTAATAGGTCTTTTCTATGTATTGTTGTTCGTGGAGTACGAAGTTTGGGTAAGGGAAGGAATAATATAAAATGGGTTAATGGTCACTGTGTTAAATTGTGCTGAAATCGTAAAGGAGACAAAGATGTAACGTGGTTCTTCCTTACCAGAGTGGCGAGGCTTACGTCCACGGAAAGATTGAGATTTTGTATTATTGCTCTTGACGACACATAGTCGAGTACATGTATTTATACCCTATGATACTGTCACCTAGGGTTGCATGTTTGACGTGGGAATTATGAGAGTCCATGCACCGTGAGGAGACCACGTGAGCACAAGACGTGGGCTTTACTTCAGCTGATGCAATTCGGCCCAACACTCCCCCGCAAGCTGGCACATGAAGATCACGAATGTTCAGCTTGGAGAGAAGGAACTGAAAACGCTCAGCGCCAAGACCTTTAGTTAGGATGTCGGCAAGCTGGAGGTCTGTATGGACCTTAACTGGAAATATCTGACCGGTCTGAACACGTTCCCGGACAAAGTGGCAATCCATTTCCACATGTGTAGTGCGCTCGTGGAAGACCGGATTATTGGCGATATGAATGGCAACCTGATTATCGCAATGGAGAGGAGTAGGCGCTGGCTGCGGAACGCCAAGCTCATGCAACAGCCAACATAACCATAGAATCTCGCTGACTGTACAGGCCATGGCCCGATACTCGGCCTCGACACACGAACGGGCAACAACACGTTGCTTTTTCGTGCGCCAGGAGATGGGGCACCTCCTAGAGTGATGAAGTATCCGGTAGTAGATCGACGGGTACTCTGACAACCTCCCCAGTCTGCATCACAGTAGGCTACAACTCGAAGATAGTTACTGGTGGGAAAGAAGAGACCTTGACCAGGCGAATTTTTGAGGTACCTAAGAACTCGGAATGCCGCGTCAAGGTGTTGCTGACTGGGTGCCTGAACGTGTTGGCTTAGGACATTAACTGCATAAGTAATATCGGGTCGCGTAATGGTTAAGTACAGAAGACGACCAACTAATCGACGATAAAGTGAAGGGTCAGCCAACTTATCTTCCATTGGGCGAGTCAACTGATGATTCTGCTCTATAGGAAATGCACTAGGGCGAGCAGCTTGAGCTCCCGCATCCTCAAGGATGTCAAGGGTATACTTGCGTTGGCTGAGGACCACGCCATCATGTGTGCGCGCAAGCTCTATACCCAAGAAATAACGAAGAGTCCCGAGGTCTTTGATGCTGAAACGGTCATTGAGGAATTTCTTGACACGAGCCATTAAAGAGAGATCATTCCCAGTGAGTATAACGTCGTCTACGTAGATCAATGCAGCAACATGTGTGCTACCCTCGCGATAAATGAAGAGAGACGCATCCGCTGGAAAAGAGCGGAAACCAAACTCTGTCAGGGCAAGAGAAAACTTCTGGTACCAGTTGCGGGAAGCCTGACGAAGGCCATAGAGTGACTTGTGAAGGCGGCAAACCCGGGTGTCACCAGGTTTGCGAAAACTCTGTGGGATTTCCATGTAAACCTCTTCATCAAGATCGCCGTGGAGAAAAGCATTATTGACATCGAGCTGATGTAGATGCCAACCACGACTGACTGCTACGACAATGAGACATCAAACTGTAACGAGTTTGGCGACCGGTGCGAACGTGTCATGAAAATTCAACCCCTCAATCTGTGTATATCCTTTGGAAACAAGACGCGCCTTGAAGCGCTCGATCGTGCCATATGGAAAATACTTGATTTTGTATACCCATTTAGCCGCAATTGCACGTTTGCCAGGAGGTAGATCGACCAGGGTCCATATCCCATTTCGTTCGAGTGCTTCAATCTCTTTAATCATAGTTGCTCGCCAGCGGGGATCTCGCATGGCTTGGTGAAAATATCGCGGTTCGTCCTCGCGAGTGATTGCTACAAGAAAGGCACGAAAATGGGGCTTAAAACCATCATAACTCACACAACTAGCTAGAGGATAAAGGTCTGAATTGATGTTACTTCCATGTTGTTGATTAGGAGGTGAGTATGTCTCATAATCCTCTAAGTACTTTGGCCGCATTCTCTCTCGGGTGCTTTTGCGGATAGGTGGGTTGGGAACTCCACCATTATCTTGAGCATCTGGTCCAGGCGAGGGTTGCTGCTCGTGATTGACGTGGGAATTGGTAGAAGGATGCGGGGAGGAGTCCCCAGCTAGATCCTCCGCAGGGGCTGCTCGGCTGGCTTCTTCAGCGGACGTGGGTGACGAGTCATCGTCCATGGCAGCATCAGGTGTGGTGAGCACTGGTCGAGGTACCCAGCGTATCTCTTGCTGAACATTTTCCTGGAATGGAGAAAGGTGCTCATGGAAAGTCACATCGTGCGAGGTGACAACCCGCTTGGTCTTCAAATCGTAAATGCGATAGCCTCGTTGAGTAGTGACTCACTCCTACTGTCACTCTAGAAAATGGCCAAGTGTAACCACTTCCTAAAGCGTAGTATAGCGGGTTTGGGTTTTATTGTCAACCCGGGTCCTAGATGTGATGACTACTCGGTGAAATCTCGTTATCTAGCAGTGAACTTTTAGTGCAAATTCAAACAAACAAAAACACAAAGCAAGTTTAACGGTTGTTCAAGTCAAGAGAGGTCACCCGGATATGGTTCCCCCTAGACTGCAGTTAAGCCGGATTGCAAGTTACCAAGTTCAGTTTTTATGAAAGTTATACTGCGGAAGGTTCTTAAATAGCTTGAAGTCTCGACTAAAGGTCTCCAGACCCTCTCAATCTGAGTGTCTTACGGGCGACTAACCTCCACCGGAGTAAACAGATTGAGGCCCTAACGAACCAAACCTCCACTACCAAATGGAATTCGGTACAGAATAGCGAATTGGCTCCTCGACTAAAGTCACCAATTCGCCACCTTCGATTAAGGATACTCTATCAACCTAGGCAGATATTCTCATTCTAGGTCAAAGCAGAAACAACAGGAATTTGATCAGGATTCAAGTCATTCAATCATTCAAACCTCAATCGAATATAATCAATTCACAAACTCTGTACTTGGGTTCATACAATCAGACCTAGCATACAAATCTAGGGTTCCCCATACCCAGATGAATGGGGGAACTACTCCATAGAGAAAGAAGCAAAAGCATATTCAGACGCGGAAATCATACTGTGAAGATGGATTTCTGCTCCTGGACGTTTAATCGGCACTTCTCCAAGCTCAAGCCGGGCTCCAATGGTGATGAAGATCAAGCTATGGCACTTGGGAACTCTGGTTCGTCGCTTTCTCTCTCTAGGAATCGATTTCTCTCTCAAAAACTCGGAACCCTTCAATGTTGGCCTTCTTCTTCCTTTTATCAGCTGCCAGATCGCGATACCCGGTCGAAATACCCGGTCGGGTATTTTGGGTTTCGACCGGGTATAAATGAAGCGCACCGTTTCGTTCAGGGGAAAAATCCCCGGTCACTTTCCATAATCCCCGACCGGGGGTTTAAGCCATTTGCCCGGGCCCCCTTCTGCTTCTCACGGACGCCCGAAGTGAAAATTACCCGACCATGGCCAGAAAATACCCGGTCGGGTATTTCTGCCTTTGGCCGGGTATTTTGGCTCATCAGCCCCCTTCTTCGCAACTTCGCTCCTTTCGACCCAGAACTCGTTTCTCCGCCTCGATTCCAACGCCGGGTCCTGAAATATGACATAAACACACAACCTAGCGTGAAATCGGCTTAAAACACGAGATTCCACATCACAAACGGCTTCAGAATAGGGGCGAAAATATGTATAATTATCGGTCTATCAAACTCCCCCACACTTAACCGTTTGCTTGTCCCCAAGCAAACCAAGTCAGACACCAGGTAAGCTCAAAACGTTTCAATCAAGCAGGCGTTAGGGCAAATCGTATCGGCACAAAACACGTGGATCATACTGGCTTTCGATCATCAACACATGGCAACTCGAATGACAACCTAGACAACCACCACAGACGACATTCGAATGCAATAAAGTCGAGCAAAGGAAGAGTTCTCTCCTGTTCACCAACCAATCTAGACTTGACTCAATCACTTGTTCAAAACAGTCACTTCATGCACAAAGCTCAAGATATCAGAATTAAGACCGAGCAATCTAGGTCCTCACCGGGGTAAAGAGTATAGAGAATATAAGAAAATTAATCGCTCACTCTCGACCAGTGGGGTCAGGACAATTTGATGCGAAAAATGCGCATGCTTCTTCTCTCAATCCCTATCGTCTCTTCACCATGAATGCAGCCTCTAAATGCTAGAGTTCACATAAGCGGTGTCACCACTAACTAATCCGGAGGTCTTAGACACAGGTTCAAATGACTGGCTAGGGTCTTGGACATGGGGAAAAGGCCTTTTAGGTGGTGGTAGTTATAGAACAAGGTTCCACATTTCCCAACCCAACAAAACCACAGTCAAACAAACCAGTAACTTCCGTTCCGCTATTCTGCATTAATCAAATTCTTTAGGCACAAGAGCGAAGGAGGTTATATAAATGTTAGCATTTCCAAGCCAAACATGCCAAGAAACACTACTCAATGGGCACTATTCAGATTTTTGATGGTGGTTCTCTTTTGCTTTCATTTTTTTTCTTTGTTTTTCTTTATTTTCTTTGAGAAAACCACCACCTCTGCACGTTTTTCAATAACACGCCCAACTTTTAAGCACTTCCTCCAACCCTCACCTTACATTTAGCAGAAATAGCAGAAATCATGTAAAAATCACTCCGTGGAACCTTCTAAAAGATGCAAAAGGGTGACTTTTCATTGAAGACCGAAAGAAAGGAAAACACACGGCTCAAAGGGGCTGACTAGGGGTATGACACACCAGGACAGTCAGTTTGGTCGTGGGCTAATCCTATGCCTCCATCATCTTAGCTAGTGACAATGTGAACACTACATTTCATGGAAGAGGAATCTATCGCACAAGAAAGAAACGATCAGGCTCAAATCTCACATGGCTACCTATATGCTCTATCTCACATTCTGATTCCCTGAACTAGATGCATAAATGACTGTCAAAAGCAAGTGATCAAATGCAAGTCGCAGTTGGTAAGCAAACAGTTGAAAGCTGAACCCCTACACAACGCTACTACACATCTCAGTCATCGTAATAGGCTGTCTTAGTCACACTCAAGTTGTCATGCATCGAGTCAAAAGCCATTCAATCTACTAATCACATCCACAGTGCCAATACGATCAATCATCAAGCAAACAGCAGTGCTTGGAGCCCTCAAATCTTGAGATTTGGACAGTAG